GTAATGCCAGGGTGAGATGGTATCTCATGGTGGTTTTAATTTGCATTTCTCTAATGGCTAGTGAATGCGAGCATTTCCTCATGTGTCTGTTGGCCGCCTGAATGTCTTCTTTGGTGAAGTGTCTGTTCATTTCCTTTGCCCATTTTTTAATAGGATTATTTGTGTTTTTCTTGTAGAGGTGTTGGATTTTCCTGTAGATTATGGAGATTAGACCTTTGACTTATACTGTCCAAAATCTTTTTTCCTAGTCTGCAGGTTCTCTTTTCACACTTTTGGTAAAGTCTTTTAAGAGCATAGGTGTTTGATTTTTAGAAGATCCCAGTTATCTAGCTTATCTTCTGGGGTTTGTGTGTTGATGGTTATAGTTTATATCCAGTTAATGCCGTGTATTAGGGCCTCCAGCGTTGATCCTATTTTTTCTTCTATGAACTTTATAGTTTTTGGCTTTATATTTAGATCTTTGATCCATTTTGAATTAGTTTTTGTATATGGGATGAGGTAGGGGTCCTGTTTCATTTTTTTGCAGGTGGATATCCAGTTCTGCCAGCACCATTTGTTAAAAAACTGTCTTTTCCCCACTTGATGGACTTTGGGCCCTTATCGAAGATCAGGTGAATGCAGGTGGATGGATTTATATCTGGGTTCTCAATTCTGTTCCACTGGTCAATGCATCTGTCGTTTTACCAGTACCAGGCTGTTTTGACTATCGTAGGTGTATAGTAGGTTCTGAAGTCAGGTAGTGTGAGTCCTCCAACTTTATTCTTCTTCTTCAATAGTGCTTTACTTATTGGGTGCTTCTTCCTTTTCCATATAAAGCTAATGATTAGTTTTTCCATCTCTTTGAAGAATATTGTTGGTATTTGGATCAGGATTGGGTTGTACCTGAAATTAGGTAGAATTGTCATTTTCACAGTGTTGAGTCTACCTATCCATGAGCATGGTATGTTTTTCCATTTATGTAGAACCCTCTGGGTTTCTTGCAGTAGTGTTTTGTAGTTTTCTTTGTATAGGTCTTTTACATCCCTGGTTAGATTTATTCCTAAGTATTTTATTTTTT